AGACACTAGACACTCAGCCAAAATAGAGCAGCAGAGACTAGACCAAAAATAAAACACATGCAGAGAGAGCCGCAGTTTGTTGGAGACTCCAGAGCGCAAATTTAGCAGCCTGGACATGTTGAGAAGTCTATAAACACTACCAGCACCTCCTGTCAACACTGTAATGAAATAAAGTAGAGAGGGAGTGTAAACCATCAGGAAAAGGCTCGAGTTGGACAACATCAAAGGGATCATCAGTGTGAATCTCTGCCTCGTCCCTGACAGCTTAGGCTAAGAAAAGCACAGCGACTGCTGCGCCACAGAGCACCGAGCCAGAGACGTACGCTGACAAAGAAAGAGCGCTCAAGCAATTATCACCTTTTCCTACTAACTAGCAGTTCCCTCGCTACAACCACTTTAAGCATTTTCGTCGCTGCCGCCTTCACCCCAGTGTTAGTGGTTACACACGGCACCCTGGTGTGGAGCACCCCGAGGCCTAAGCTGGACTAGCAGAGCCCAGCTGGCTGGGAATAATCTGCAAAAAGCCCAGGAGTGAGTAGCCTCTGGAAATATGATCCACCATCACAGGAGCATGAATCACGACCGCCCTACAGGGAGCTGGGGGGGGCTGGATGCAGAGGCCTTACTCTCCCTGAGATGACAGCTATCAATAGATGCATGCTTGGCTCATTAGAGAATCTTAGAGCTCGTCACAACCAGACACCAACCTGTGGAAGAAAATTCACTCAAACTGAACCCGTGAGAGCAAACACGTTCTTCTTCATGACATTCAACAACACCAAGATGGTTGTAGTCAAAGAACCAAAAACAGGTCTTACCATGACCCCCACGTGTAAGAAAGGGCATTCTGTTGATGGCAATGGGCACCGTGCCATGCTTGTTGTGGAAGTGGTGGACGTGGTGGGTGGTGCTGAGGGAGGAGGAGACCCGCGCGGCCACGGCGGGGCAAGGGAACACCAACAGTGCCAACGAGAGCACCAGCCTGAACAGGAAGGCTGGGCTGGCCCACACCACTGGTGATGCCGTCACCGGCCTGGACACCAATAACAAACCTTCATCCACCTCCACTTCCACCTCCTGCTCCGTGGGGGCGGGGCCTGAAAAGAATGGAAGGCCCCTCCCCCTAATGCGACACAAACAGGAAGTGAACATCTCAAATGAATCCAGGACCCATGATCCCCAGCTTTCCAGCCCGGGGAGGAAAAAATCAGAAGAATAAAACAAGCCAGAAGAAAAACAGATCCTTGATTAAAAATCCCAAAAAAACCACCGGAAACAAGATCAGTGAAGAAAAAAAAGATAAAAAAGCAAGATCCCTCCTGAAATCAAAGACCCCAAAACCTCCAGCAGTCAGACGGTGATATCCAAAAGCTTCTTGATCCTTAAGAACCAGGTCGTGCCCGAGCACTAGGGTTAAATCAGAACTTTCTCTGTGCTATAAAACTTCTGATCACAGCTCAGCAGCGTTCTCTTATCAGTCAGGAGACTCCATCTCAGCTCCCAGACAAATATCTCACGAGCTGCTCCTTGAGTCAGTTGTTGCTCTGGATTCCCTTTGCCTTGGGGAGATCTTCAGAGGGTTCCTCCACCCTTAATCCAAGCTTCCATCATGCCGTAGAACACTCCTGCCATCTCTCTGAGCCTTTCCCACACAACTTAAACAGAGCGTGGAAAATAAAAATAAAAAACCAGGGAGCAAAAAGGAGAGGCGAGTGAACAGCAGAGCCCGCGATGTAGGAGCAGTCAGATCCGGTTTTGGGGCTTCGGACGTCTGAAGAAGGTCTGAACCCCTCTCAGGCGGTAAAGAGAGGAAAAACAACACATCAAAGAAGAGAATAACAGACTTCAGGGAGAAAGAGCAACGTTGAGAAAGGGAGAAGAGGGTTGGTTATTTCCAAGTAGCGCTGTGCTGAATTCCTTCTCCTCTGTTCTGACAGAATAAATCAATACGGGTCATAAAACGCAGAGCAGTACCAAGGAGGCAGCTTAACAGGATTAAACCATAACCAGAGCACTAGAGTGCTTGATGCTCAGTCCATCCGAACAATCTTCCCATATTAAGATTGGTGAACATGCGCCGTCCTGCTCGTGCTTCTCCCCTTTGAGAATCCGTTCCTCTGCCTCTTCAAAGGCTGCTTTCCACAGTGAGAACGGGATGGGAACCAGCCGCTGGTCCCTCCGATGAAGATCCAACACAGAGTCCTGCTGCTGCTGGCTCGCTGAGACGGTCTGACGCTGCTGCCTTCGCTGTGAAATTCATGCTAATTGAATCAGAAGCTGCAGCAACGAGCACATCCTTCCTGCCCGCGCAGTTCTCCCATCTCCTATTCATCCGATCGAGCCAGCCAGCTCCCCCCTCCACCCCTCCACCCCAAACTGCATGCGGCTCCGTAACAGGCAAGGGGGAGGGAAAAACCAAAAGAAAGCAAACAGGCGAGGGTGTGAGGGACAGGAAGAGAGCTGGAAAGAAGAGAAAGGTGGACACACTTGGAGGCAAAGA